AAAATATATATATTATAATGTTGGAGGGTCACACTGTCACTTGGGCCTTGCTGATCCGAGTGTCCTGCACTGCCACCTGGGGCAATGGTAACATCTAGACCAGGCTGCTGCCAAGGATCAAGTCTGGGTCTATGGTTCTATGGTAGCCAGATCTATGTTGAAGTGCAAGAATCATGTTGCCACCAAAGGTCCCACGGAAGCCCAAGATTGGGCTACAGCCTGTGGCTTTGTAGGTGTCTGGAGACCATGCCATCACAAAAGTCATGGACATCCTGATTTGAGTGGCCTGTGCTTTCACCCAGAAACAGTATGTTGTCTAGACAACAGCTGCTGCCAAGAACCCATGCCTTAGTTCACGGTCCTGCTGCAGCTGGGGACTATGTTGATATCTGTGGCATGTATCACCTAAGGGGGACATAGGAACCATGTGTGATGAAATCAGAGAGCCATGCTGAGCCAGCCCTGCTCTTCACTGGCCCCAGAAAATCTGGTCTTGTTTCTCGATGGACACTGCAGCAAAAGAGCTGGTCCCAACCCTCATGGAAGAGCTATACTCCCTCTGACTGAATTCAGGAGAGATGGCCCCCACTCTGTACCACAGGTGAGCGATATCTGACCTTAATGGCATGGGTAAGGGAGCAGACCTGGCTCCACCCCTTGCCTTAGGAGGCCAGCCCCAGTGGCCCAGACTGACCATCTCTGCTACCACCCAAGCCCACAACCAGGCCTCTAGTTGACCTACTACCATCCACCCCATCTAGGATCTGCTGGAGTTCATGAAGGAACTGTTCCTTGGGAGAGACACCCGCAGGATCTCCATGACTCCTGGCAGCTGTGGGATATCCAAAATGAGTTTTGGTGAGGGTCCAGTGATGACGGTGTACCAGAAACAAGAGGCCTTGAACCGGACATTGGAATGAAAGATGCAAGTAAAGCCAACTGGACAAAGGGTGACACACCATGGTTCCCAATGTCATAAGGACAAATGAGGAGGTGTTGGAAAGGTGGGAAAGATGGTGGGGAAAGGGCTTTTGTTTTGTTGGTTTTGTTTATTTGTTTGCTTGGGGTTTTTTTTTTTTGGTATAGTTTGGTTTGGTTTTTGAAAATTTTCTTTAGGGAAGGGTGCTACAGGAGTAAGGGGAGGATATGGGGAGACCTGGAGATGAGCAGAATTAGGGTGCGTGATGTGAAATTCACAAAGAATCAATAAAGAAACTCTGTAAAAAGTAAGTGAAAGATAATGTTTTATGGATTAAGGTGATAACCAATCCAGAATATTTCCTATTGTCGAAGAAAATTTAAGGTGAGATTAATAGAGCATATGCTTCAGACTCCTGACTCAAACAGGTCCAAGGCCTGAGAAGAACCTAGAAATGTAATCATGTGGTCTAAGGTGTTGCATTGTACTCAAAGAGTAAGATATTTTGAAGGATTTTCCTATCTACATTTCTCTCAAATTTAATTTTTGTCAGTTGAAGATAAAGTGAACATAAATATATTTTGGATCTGACTAAGGTGAATTATTGGGTTGGGTTAATTCATGTGATTCACGATCCATTCGTTGTACACATAGGTATGGGCACCAAGATTTCACAGTCTTTAGCGACAGCTATTTTACACTGTGGCTGCTAGTGACTTAAGTCAGAGGCATGGTCTAGTTCCAGTCAGTTTACAGTGTTGGAATCTGTGTCTCTCCTCTCTAACTGCTTCCACGTTCTTCTCTGCTCTCACCGCTGCCACGCTGTGTAGCCTGGTCTGTCTAAAGAGGACTCTGTGCTTTGTGTTCTTATGTTGGCATAAGATTGTCGCATTGAATGCTATACGTTAAGGCTTAGGATGCCGTCTTTTTATAGGGCACAAAATATATACATTTTTTTGCCATAATGTAACATTCAAACCACCTCTCATAAATGAGGACATTAAGTTTAGTAGTGGAATTAGAAAGTGATGTTCAGAATGACTGCCCCCTGGTGGGCATGCAGGACATGGTCTCCTGTAGGAAGGACCTAGAATATGACAGGTGCCACTCCTGGGATTAGGTTACATTTCATAAGGACAGCAAGATTCTGCATAAGTAATTACATCGCTAATCAGTCTAACACACAATGGCTTTAACTTTGAGTGTATTGAAATGGTTATCTGTAGCAGGCCATCTAAGTGTGTTATTTTCTTGAGAGATTTTTACAATTGATTTGGCTCTGTACTCCCTAGCTGGCTCGACTTACAATAACACATTTGCCATGTTTGCTATGGAGAGAATAAGGAAATGTAGTCCTTATTCCTCACAGCATCCATCAAACTGTGCACTCATGGTGCCTTTGATTATGTCATTCAGATTTTAGCAGTAAAATAGCATGTGATTTTTTTCTGAATACTGTGGTTTCTAACAGTTTCCTTTAAAACATGTAAAGGTGTTGTAATTGTCTCAAACTAAAACAGTTTATGTCCATTTTCTGTTACAAATTTTTACTCTTCTTTTTGTAAAGGTCACAGATTTCATGCCTTAGAAAGCATGGGTCTTGCTTTGTATATGATCATCAGCCTTTGAAGGTCACTCCTAGAAAGGCCAAAAGACCTTGTACAAGAAAGCAACACACTCCGACTGTGAAATTGTATTTCTGTTTGGCCCCTAGGGGGCACTGCTCTCTAACCGGAAAAGGACTTTTATGCAGGTTAGATCAAAGACAACAAAACCTAATTTCTCCACTATTTAAACACTGGCTTTGACTGAACATAAATTAGGTAATGACAGAAAGAATCTCAGACACAGGGCTATTGCCAAGACTGACAATACCTGATAGTTCAATCAGGGTTGCTGTGGAGGTTTCTAAATCCCTCTGTCTACCTCTCCACTCCCCAGGCTGTATTCACTTCCCAGGAATCTCCAGGAAGAGTGAGCTGCTTCTTGTTCTCCTCAGTGACCTTGCTGTGCATCCTGAGGCTCAGCGCAGCCCTGCTGCTCACTGTCACTCTGCTTTAGTGTCTCATCCCCAGAAAGAACGCTGTGCTGTTTCACTCTGACTAAAGACCTCCTTTCAGCTGAGCTGCCCACACAGCACTAATGCTGCAGGAGGATGCAGAGCCCAGTTGGTGGCCCAGCCTGATGGCTGCATCTGTGCATCTGCAGCAGCTGCTCTGGAGCTGAGGGGCAGCTATTCATCTCTTGTCCCTCAGGGTCCTTACCTGCATGTGCAACACTCTCAGCTGAGACTCCAGTGTCTCCTGAAGCTCACACCAGGAAGCCCCTGTCTCAGGCATGGAGAGCTTTCAGACTGAGTGCAGAAGGATGGAAACTCCTTCTACCTGAGGATCCTCTGAAGATGAGACTGAGGGAGCTGGGTGCTCCTCTGTCCTGAGTCACGTGTACAGAGCTGGACATAAACCGCCTGAGATTTGCAGAGTAAGAGGCCAGGGTCACAGCCTCAGACACTCAGGGAGTTGGCGGTTTCTGTGAAGGCAACAGTACAGAGTAAGTAGAATCTTGGCAAGTGCTCCATTCCTATGGGATAGATCTGAGCTGCCATGGATTTGTTTCTCATCTTGCAAAGGAAAGATCTTATTCCAGAAGGACAGCATTTTTACCCGAGTCAAAATTCTTCCTCAATTATCCTCAGGATTCTCTTCAAACTGGAGGACATTAGTTGCTTTAAGACCATTTGAGAAAGTGATGGGCTGAGATGGTATAAGTCGGGGCTGTGAGTTATTTTTGAGGAGACGTGTGTTTACTTTTCATTACAAGTCTCATTCCTCAAGCAGTCATCCTTATGGTAAAAACTTTAAAACTCATTCCTCGTTGTTATGAACTCTAGTGCAGTGTTCCCTGCATCTCCATGTGCAAAAGCCCACAGCTGCTGCCCCTGTCACTCTGCACGCAGCACTCCTGCATTAGTTTTCCCAGTCCACTTCCTTCCTACACAGCCATTTAACAATCAAACAAACTTATCACAAACCTTTGTTATAATGGGAGTGTCTATTAAAATAAACATTACATTTGTTTGAATGCATTAATAATACCCTCAGAGTACCCAAAATGTTTCAGTGTCACCTTAAGAAAAAGAAGTTAAAAAACACACCTTTTGGTTAAATTTAAGACCTAGCCTGGATTTGAATTCTTTGCTTCTCCCTTCCCTTGATTTCTGTATCTGCCTATTCCAAGAAATAGGCTGGCTTTGTGGGAGCCTAGGCAGTTTGGATGCTCACCTTACTAGTCCTGGATTGAGGTGGGTGATCCTTGGACTTCCCACAGGTCAGGGAACCCTGATTGCTCTTTGGGCGGATGAGGAGGGGAGACTTGATCGGGGGAGGGGACTTGAGGGGGGAGGGGGAGGGAAATGGGAGGCAGTGGCGGGGAGGAGGCAGAAATCTTTAATAAATAAATAAATGTAATAATAAAAAAAAGAAATTACTAAAAACAGTAAGATGCTTTTTATTTTGCGTGTTTGGAATGCCTTCCACTTTACTTGATAAAGATTCTTTTCGGACTGGGGATGGGGTGTTTTGAGGAAGGGTTTTTCTCTGCAACAGCTCTGGCTGTCTTGAAACACACTTTGTAGACCAGGTTGGCCTTCAATTCATTGAACTCCACCTTCCTCTAAATAATCTAAAGATTCTACAGAATCTAAAGATTCTTTACTCAAAAAGTACATCTATTTCCTGGCATGAATATTTAGTTGTTCCTTTTTTAATGTTCTCCAGTTACTTCTTACACCAGTTGAGATATTTTCTCATTAAGAAGAAAAGATCCTCTTTTTCCTCAAAGATCACTTCCAGAGTCATCTCAAAATGCCTCCTACTGTGCTGCACCCAGACTCTCAGCCAGGTTTGGTTTGGGAGGAGCTTCAGGCTCAGAAGGTTGGAAGGAAACAGCTCTGTTTATGGGCTGGCAGGGTTCCTGGGTGGGGCTGATGGGTTGCAGGAGGAGGGACACTTCAACAGCCATCCTGACACCACAACCCAAGGGTTGGTTACTTGCTTCTCTCTCCAGCAGTCAGACAAGCACAATGAAGAGGCTGCTGTGCTCTCTGCTGGGACTGCTGTGCACCCAGGTTTGCTGTGAGTCTGGCTGTTCATATTCAGGAAACAGAGAGGGTTCTGCTCAGCACATGGAGGAGTGGGGAAGCAGCTCAGAGGTCCTACAGAGATCTCACCTTCTCAAAGGACATGGAGTGTGTTCAGGGTTCTGTGGATGCTCAGTGACCTCCACCTGTGTCTCTTTCTCTGTTTCTAATCAGGGGTGAAAGGGCAACAAGTGAAGCAGAGTCCTGAGTCCTTGGTTCTGCAGGAGGGAGAAAATGCAGAGCTGCAGTGCAACTTTTCCACAGTTTTGAACAGTATGCAGTGGTTTTACCAAAGTCCTGGGGGACACCTCATCACCCTGTTTTATAATCCTTCTGGAACAAAGAAGAGTGGAAGACGGAAGTCCACGACAGTCATTCAGGAACGCCGCAGCACTTTGTACATTTCCTCCTCTCAGACCACAGACTCAGGCACTTATTTCTGTGCTATGGATCCACAGTGATCCCCACACACCTGCAGCCAGCACACAAACCTTCAGCTGGCTGGGTGTGGCCCAACCAGTCATAAGACATCAGGATGCCCCACAGAACATCTGTCTGGTCCAGTATATTGGCAGAGTTTCTTTGTAGTATTGGCAGAGTTTCATCCTCAGGAAGGCTTTTCGACTCATAGGTTTAGGACTTTGGTCTTAATCTTCATTTCCCAATATATAGTCCCTCCTGAAACACAAATGTCCAACTTGAAACAGAGATGCTGATGGGAGGAATGAATCAACATGAACTTCTTTTGAGATTATAATTACAGTGTTTCCCCCTTTCATTTCCTCTCTCCAAATACTCCCATAAACCTTCTCTTTTCTGCTGCAGATTCATGACCTTTTTTCAATAATAGTGTGTGTGTGTATAATTTAATGTATGTGTATGAATATACATAATCTAAACACAACCTCTTCAGTCTATATAATTTTTTTATGTGTGTTATGTATGTTTTCAGGACTAACTATTTGACACTGGGACAACCAATTATTTATCATACTCTCAATCTATAAACATTTGTTCTTATATCCACAGACAAGTATAGTCTTCACCCATCATCAAAGAAACTTCTCTTTGCAACAGATGGAGACAACACAGAAAATCACAACTAATTAAATGTAGAGTTGTGGACCCCAACCTCAGTGGATACATTTACAAAATACACCCGCAGCTAAGGCTCAGGTAAAAGTGTGGAAAAGGGGACAAAACAATTGCAAGAACCAGAGAATCAGGAAGTTTGCTTTGAGATTGTGTCTCTTAACAGCATCAGAAGCCAAACACATAAAGTGTCGCCAACATGACTGCCCAAATATCATGGACATGCCAACTAGACAAGGAAAAATCCCACAAGGGCAATGTGAACATTTAAGCCACAGTGTCCTCAGCTCCTAAAGGGTAAGGAGCAAAAGGAAATAAAGGCGAAGGCAGTCATCCATGTAATGCTGATGTGAGTATTGATATCTTAAGCACAGTCAGTGGGTCCCACAATGATGAGCACAAACATCTGGCCTAATGATATACTAGGAAAACATTCCCCAGTATTTCTATGCTGTTAAATATATGTGATAACACTTAAGGCATATTTTCCCTCTACCTAAGTCCTGTTTATATCTATTTTATTGCTATGAAGAGACACCATGACCTGGCAACTCTTATAAAGGAAAATATTAAATTGAGAATGATTTACAGTTTAGAGGTCTAGTCCATTATCATCATAGGAAGCATGGCAGCACACAGGCAGACATGGTGCTGGAGAGGTAGCTGAGAGTTCTACACCTGGTTATGCAGGGAGCAGGAAAAGAGACACTGAACTTGGCTACAGCATTTGAAACCTCAAAGCCCATCCCTAGTGGCACTTTCTCCATCAAGGCCAATCTATTCCAACAAGACCACAGTCACACCTCCTAATAGTGCCACTACCTATGAGCGTATGGGGATATTTTTCATTTAAGCCCCCAAATCCAGTCCCTGGCCCCATAGGCTTAGAGTCATATCAGAATGAAAAACTGCATCCAGTCCAACTTCTAACGTTCCCTGTCTTAGGGTTTCTACTGCTGTGAAGGGATACCATCCATGACCATCACAACTCTTATAAAGGAAAAACATTTTAATTGTGGTGGTTTACATCTTCAGAGGTTTAGTCCGTTATCATTGTGGTGCGACATGGTTGTTTGCAGGCAGACATGGTGCTGGAGAAGAAGCTGAGAGTCCTACATCTTGATTTTCAGGCAACAGGAAGTGGTCTGTCTCACTGGGTGTAGCTTGAGCAAAGGAGACCACAAAACCCACCCCCATAGTGAAAGACTTCCTCCTATAAGGCCACACTGAGTCTGACAAAGCACTCCTCCTAATAATATAACTCCCTTTTGGGGGCATTTTCTTTCAATCCACAACACCATTCATAGTCCATCCCTGTCTCAACTCTGTTAAAAAGTCTCAAGTCTCTTCTGAGACTCATGGCAATCTCTCAACTGTAATCTCCCATAAACTCAAAAATCAATAAATGGATCACATAATGCCAACATAAAACACAGAATATAAATTACCTTTCTAAAAGGGAGGAAATAGAACATAGTGAAGAAATACTGGACCAAAACAAGACCAAAATCCAGCAGGGCAAACTCCAAACTCTGAATCTCCATGTCTGATACCAAAGCGCTATTCAGATCTTTGACTCATTTGAATTTTGTTGACCAGCAACATTCCTCTCTCTTGAACTGGTTCTACTCCTTGTTATCAGCTTCCTTCAGCACACATTCCATGGCTTCTCCAACATCTTGGGGTCTCCAAGGCAGCCCAGGCTTTACCTTCACAACTTCATGAAATGGCCTTTCTGGGCCTTCATTCAGGGATTCCTCTGCCACACTCCTGGCCTCAGAAGCTTTCTTTAGTCATGAAGAGAGATTCCATAACCCCTTGTATGCTTGACTCTAAAGCCAGAACAATGTGGCCGAAGCTGTCAAGTTCTGCTGCTTGCTGAGGATGTGATTCAAACACATTTAAACCACCTTTCTGCTATTGATAGTTTCCTTCGCTGCCTAAGCTTGCCTGTCCTGGAAATTGCTCTGTAGACCAGGCTGGCCTCTAACTCAGAGATTGGCCTGTTTCTGCCTCCAGAGTGCTAGGATTAAAAGCATTTGCCACCAAGCTTTTCTTTAATTCGTTTTCACAAGTTGGGATATTAGCTGGGTTGTGTCTTGTCCTGAGGTTACCAGTCCCTTATTAATTTATCATCAGCCTTTTCTCTAAGCTTTTGCCTGGTGCTCCTTTTCTCCTTAAACTATATATTTTGTATTTACCTTTTTCAGCTTGCTTCTCTTCATTATAGATTTGCATAATCATGTCCACTGATAACCGAGTAACACAGGCAATATTAGGCTGTCTAGCAACCTCCTCTGCTAAAGCCTTTAATTCATAACCCTTCAATTTAGCCTCATGCAGGCTTTTTGGAGAAGGGCAAAAAGCAGCCACATTCTTCACCAAAATATCACAAGAATGGTTTCTAGGCCAGATACTAATATTCTTCTCATCTGAACTCTTTTAAGCTAGACCCCACAATTCAAATCACCCTTAGCATCACTCTCTTTGAATTTCCTACTAGTGTGGCCCATTAAGGGCTGCTTAAAGCATTCCACTGTTTTCCTAATCCCAAGTCTCAAAGTCCTCATTTCTCCAAAAAAAAAAGGGGGGACGCGGTCAGGCCTATGACAGAACCCCAGTCTTTGCTATGAATGTCTGTCTTAGTTAGGTTTTTATTGCTGTGAAAAAAACACCAAGGCGGTGGAAACTCTTATAAAGGAAAACCTTTAATTCAGGCTGGCATACAGTTTAGAGATCTAGTCCATCGTCGTCATGGTGGGAAGCAGGCAGACGTGGTACTGGAAAGGTAGCTGAGAGTTCCAATGGACCAGGAAACTTTCTCCCTACAGGCTGCCTTACTGAAAGATGCTATGTGGGCTCTTGGGAAGAAAAAAAAACCTCAATTAAGAAAATACTTTAACAATCTTACCCAGAGCTGATCCCCTGTATGTGGCCCTCCCAAGAAGAGCCAGCTGGTGAAATAGTGGCACCACTTTCGTGAGGTAAGGCCACTTTCTGTCTGGATTTGAGGTCTGCTGTAAAATTTCAGTTTCAGAAAATCCAACTCCCTCTTCTGGCCTTCACAGACACTGAATATATGTGGTATATAGATATACATGAAGGCAAAGCATTCATACACATAAGCACAAAAATAAATGAGTGTTTAAACGAACAAATCCCATGCTTTAGGAGGTCAAAGACCCTACAGTAAAACCGACCTCATTTATTTAGCTAAATTTCATTGTCAGATTGCTTCTAGATATGTATGTTTATGCCTGCAGTCCTTCGCTGCTGTCTTTGTGGTAGGCAGCAGTCAATGCAAACATAAAACTGGTCAAAGTTCTGAGAATAAAATACTGAGTGCTCAGCCCTCGGGGACATCTTTACCAACACCTACCAAGGCCCAAGCAACACTGAGGGAGAGGAAGTAGTAAAAATGTAAGTGCCAAAATATGGAGAGGAGTACTGTGAGATGCTGTCTTCTGGGCATGACATGACTGTCACACTCATGAGCTCTCAGTGGCTGTGGTTGCCTGCAAAACATCTACCTATACAAGACCAAGGCGACCAAAACTCATGCGTAAATGGAGGAAATTATCTCCAGCCCCAGTTCTTTTTGAGGAACTATTAGCTGTTGGTACTTGATGAGATAGGGAGATTCTTCTTTGGAGTGTGAGTATTGATAGGTTTCCAGTGCTCCAGTGAATGGCTCCACACCCATCCATCCAGATGTGGGCAGGAAGTATTGAACTTAATGGGACATAAAAGGATAATGAGAAACAATCAAGTGAGATGGAGAGAGGTTTGGAATTTTGGAGGCCATGGAGGGAGAAATGGGGAGATATCAGATTCTCAAGGAACAATAAAATAATTCTTAAAAGAAATGAAAATATAAGCTTTTAAAATATGAAGAAAAATTCTAATAAATGTTTACAAAAGGAAATCAGAAGGGTTAAAATTAATGCAAAAAAAGAAAAGGAAAAGATGAGGTGTTGGAGCAGCCTCTTTTGGGATGCTAGAAAGCTGTAGACTGTTTTACCCATGGGCATATGCTCACTGAACTTGTGGACTCACGTTCTTGCCTATGCTTTACGCTACTGCTGAGTACGTAAGTGCTGAACAAGTGTTTGCTGCCCAACTGAGCAGGCATCATACTGATTGTATACCAGGCTCCTAGCTGAATGTGCTTAGCTTTGTGTTCTGAGGACCGGGCTGACTTTTGCACCCTCCCTAGTCTGCCCCCACATTGGATGCCATTTTGGGCATCTGATGTTTTAGTTTTGGAATATATCTCACATGTATTAGGAGCATAGGAAGCTTCACAACATAAAGACACTTCAGACACATGATTTGTCCTTGTGCTTTCCAGACCTCCTGAGAACTAGTC